AAAGATGTAAATTAAAACCACTGGAAGGTAAAACCCAATTTTCCATTAAACTGGAAGATGTGGTGATATGCCATGCCTAGCATTTGGCAGGACTTAGTGACTTAGATACTGTATTGATGGCAAGAAGAATACTTGCTTTTGGGGTGGTGGTAGTGATATTGGGGATCGAACCTAGGACACCACACACAGGAGGTGGGTACTCTACTTATATCCCCTGCTGCAGCTGACTTTCATATTTCCTGAAGGAAATGTGGCCAGACATGAGTCGCTAAATGAAATCATTAAAATGATCATGCCCTCTATGCCAGCCTTACACTCTCTGGGGGAATGTATCAGTGAGAGACCTAGAAATGGGAAAAGATTTTCTTACAAAGTTAGCACCACATTACATATTAGTCCTAAGACTGGGAAACCGCACACATACTCAATGCTCAATTATTTGGAAAAATCTATAAAAATGGTAAACTAATGTGATAGAATATATATGTATTATGCATGCACACACATACAGTTATCAGAAGAATGGATGTGGAGAATTTCTATGAATATAGAAAGAAGTAAATGAGGCAAAAATAATAATAATAAATACCCACTGAAGCCAAACTGTGAAATCACTTTTGAGTGGATTTTAGGGTCTTCAGAGATGAAAAGAAGTCATTCTTCAGGGCAGAGGTTCTGTTATGTACTTGGGCAGAAGTGGTCTACAGAGCTTGTTAAGTCTAGGGCATTTCAAATGTCATTTGGGATTTAGATTCTCAATGCTGCATTTGAACAAAACTCCTTCAGTAATGCTAACATAGGCTGTGTGTAGGAAACACTTTGGTAAAACAGCATGGTGCTGCATGCTGGGAATATTTCTAGTTCATCTTTGTGGTCAGATTTTTCCACATGCACAATAAAATATTAAAGAGGACATTTTCAAGCTCTCAGTAGGCTCTTACTGCAAATAATAAATATATTCAGCTATACTTGTGGTGCTGACAAATTCCAAGAATGTGTATGATTTCTCCTATAAAATGAAAATGCTTTAGGCACAGCATGAATCAAGTTGAGATATGGGAGTGCAGGCTGCAGGTTAGGCTAAATCAACAGAGTATTCAGTACCTACCACTTGCCATTCAAACTCCAGCCCAAGATCAAAAGGCACCTCAGAACCCTCACTGCCCTATCCAGCTCCAGCAGAACTTCACACAGGACCCTCCTACGTGCATGCTTTCTTTAGCTGGCTTCCAGGATGTCATCCTTAGCTTTGGCCATCCTTCAAGTATCCCTGTGGCTCCTTCTTGGTCCTTTTTGCTATTCCTTATGGCCTCTCTTACATCACAGGACCTCTCTTACATCACAGGACCTCTCTTACATCACATCTATCAACAATCTCTCCTAGTGATTTCAAGAGCCTCACAGCATGAACTAGCACCTGAATGATGTAGATTCTTCTACATGGGCATCTCTCCTAAAGCCCAAGCTCCCATATGCCATACTCATTTGACTCCTCTCAAATCCCTATTGGTCTTCACAGACTCAATGTACCCAAAAGTAAGCCCATCTCAGCTGTTGACAATTACCTGACTTAACATTTTCTCTCTCCTCCGTGATAAAACCTCACTGGTCCTTCCTTCAAAGTGAACATGGAGCAGAACCCTTGTGCCCGGCTCCACTGCTGCCAGGCTGTGTGGGTTCTCTGCACCTCTTTGTGGTGACTGTTGGAGCGTTCTTCCTTCCCTCCCTCTGTGCCAACTGGCTCTCCACCTCAATCTGCTCTCTCCACAGTACCTGAAGTGACCTTCCAAGGCCTAAATTCAGTTGTGGAATCCATGTGCTCAAGTCCCTTAATAGCTTTCGTCTGACTTGAAGTACAAACCAAAGCCCTACCCTTGCCATGAACTGATTCCCTGACCCATGACCTCTTACTATTCCCATTTCTTCCAGCTCAGTCATACTTGCTTTCATGGAACTCCTTAAAACACAGCGTTCTCTCATTGTAGAGTCTTCAAAATCACAACTTCCTCTTTCTGCAACAATTTTCATTTCATCACATGTGCACATGGTATCCCCATTTACTGCACTGTGTGTGTGTGTGTGTGTGTGTGTGTGTGTGTGTGTGTGTGTGTGTGTGTCTGTGTGTGTTTTCTTACCAAAGAATGTAATCAATATAAGGGAACTTCTGGTTGCTGTCTCTTCTTTTTCTCATTTTATGTCACAATGGCCTAGAATAGCACTTGGCATAGTAATATTGCATGAATGAAACCATGAGGTTACGTGATGACAAGGCATCATTGAAGATAGTAATTTAATGCATTGATTTCACTGGCACTTGAAGAGATATAACTTTCTATTAATGCTCTTCAGATGCAGATAAAATCAGTATCATTTTGTACTAAGAAATACCCCCACCATAGCACCTGGAGGAACTAGGGAGGAAATTGAACACTTCTGCCTCAAACCATAGTCTAAGCAGAAAGAAGGTCTCACTTGAATGCTTGTAGCAGGCAAAAGTTTAGGTCCCACCCTTTAAAAGACCAGGCTTGGAATCACTCCTGAACTCCAGGGGTCTTTCCCACATGCCGACTAGACACCATAGGGAAGGTCAGAGGACAATAATCAACTCATACCCTGGTTACATCATTGAAAGATTGAAGTGCTAGAAAAACATCTGACTATTCCTCCTCTTCTCCATCTGTGTATACTTCTTGGCTTCACAACACTATCAAACTGTCTTTACTCAGTGAGTTACTTCCTTTTCAGCCCTACTCATCAGTCTCAATACCATATCCCCACATCTGAACAACACCTGGCTACGTATGGTGATTCCTTAGTAAACCTTTGAATAATTAAGGAATGACCTAGAGTTTAGTAAGCTCAGAGCTTCTTTACAAATAAGAGAGGCTTCCTGAAGTATTAATGCAGGTTGGAGGTAATAAAAGTATTAATTAACCATCTTAAGAATGTAATTTTGTGCCGGGCGGTGGTGGCGCACGCCTTTAATCCCAGCACTCAGGAGGCAGAGCCAGGCGGATCTCTGTGAGTTCGAGGCCAGCCTGGACTACCAAGTGAGTTCCAGGAAAGGCGCAAAGCTACACAGAGAAACCCTGTCTCGAAAAACCAAAAAAAAAAAAAAAGAATGTAATTTTGTTTAAAAAAAAAAAAAGGAGGGGGAGATCTCATATTTTCATCCATTTAGAAGCCAGAAAGGACACAGCTTCTCTTCTGTTTACCCCCCATCAAAGCAGTCTGAGGGGTAGACATGCAACCCACACAGTGTGTTCAGTGCCAACGAGAAGTCCTGGCTGAGGTTTGAGGACCAACTCCATGCATCAGAGACGGATTTCCAAACCCCACTCGGACCTGCACAATGGAGCTGGCGGTCTTTCCTTCTGTTTTCTTTTTAAAATACTGTTATATGGGTAGAATAAGACTGGAACTAGAGCGCTGTTTTAACCAAGAAAATCCAGCTTTATGGTCATGTATTGTCTACTGCTCTCTCAGTATTAAGTCACTCAAAAAGTTCAGGGTGCTGAAGAACTGTGACCTTAGTATATGCTTCTATATACCTCACAGCTTATGAGAAAGCTACTATGAGCTTCTCAGGGAAAAAAAGAAGGCAACACACGCGACGATGAATGCCTTTGCTGTTTGCCCTAATCCTCTTCAAATGACAACGTTGGAAGCAAATGCTGGGTGTTAATTAAAGATCTTATCAATTAATTAACTAATTAGTTTAGAGATGAGTTCTTGCTTAATTGCCTACGTTGGTCTGGGACTCTTAGATCCAAGCAATCCTCCTGCCTCCGCTTCCTGCGGAACTGAGATTACAGGTACAAATCACCGCATTTCACTCAATTATCCTCCTTATACTCAATTCCTTTCCCCCCAACATTGGTAAATGGAGCCAGAATCCATGCAGAGCAGGAATCAAGTCCAGCTGTACCTAGTTTGACATATTCCCAAGTGATGTCATTGCCTAAATAAATGCATCGATTTCCTGCTTAAGCCTTGCAGATCCCAGAAGAGCCACTCAGCTCCCTAATTTTTTTCTACACAAACTGCAGGAAGTCATTTCCAGATTTCATCCTAATGAGGCTGTTTCCTTTGGTTCTTTACTTTGCAAATTTTCACCACAACCCTTGATAGCTGTTTTTTGTTTTTCCTCTTTCTCTCTCATCATTTTCCCACTTCAGATAAAGACAAGCAAAAAAAAAAATGCCATTGGAGTCACTTCTGGAAAAGAAATGACTAACAGGACAATTTCAGCACTGTTCAATACCATTGCATCTGGTGCAGAAAGCTTGGGAACTACAAAACATTTACATTTTTAAATAATAAAATAAAATGCAATAATATAGAATAAAAACTAATGCATCAGATTAAACAACACAAATGAACAGAAGGAAAAGAGCCCATGAGAAGGCACAAGAAATAGAGACCCACTCATTCACACACTTAAGAATCTCATAAAAACACTGAACTGGAAGCCATAATGTTCAGGCGCAGACCAGTTCAGGCCCTGTGCGTGCTGCAGTCTCTGTGAGCTCATATGAGCCTGGCTCATGTTGATTTAGAGGCCTTATTCTCCTGGTGTCCTCGATCCCCTCTCTCTGGCTCTTCTGCCATAGGGTTCCCTGAGCCCTGAGGGAAGGGATTTGGAGGAGACATCCCATTTAGGGGGAGTGTTCCAAGGCCTCTCATTCTCTGCATAATGTCTGGCTGTGGGTCTCTGTATTTGTTCCCATCTGCTGCAGGAGGAAGCTTCTCTGATGATGGCTAAGCAAGGCATTGATCATATTTACCACATTTTAAATAAACAAAATAAACTGATCATATTTACCATATTTTAAATGACGAAGAAAGAACATCAATGAAACACTAACAGCCCATCCAAGTGTACAGCAACATGGCAGTAAGCAACTTAGAGCACACGGTTATTCTAGAAATCCTCACTAAATGTTTACACTGAAAAATTTTACAAATCACAGCGGGGAGAGGGGGAGCCACTCAGTTACCTGACTGATGTCGCTCATCCATGCAGCTTTCTCCTGGCGTGAAGGTGCTAACAAGACCACAGTGAAAGGGGCAGCATCAGGAGGCTCCACTACGATTTTAAAATCCAGATGTCCAAACATGTGGCCAGAACCTTTGGCTTCAGTACACATAAAGCAAACGATTAACGTGAATGCAAGAGATATGAACAATAGCTCCTCCCATCTAGCCTTCTTACTGGGACCCACGTGCATTCAAGTCCAGACTCTCATTTCAGTGATGTGCTTCCGGAGCATGCAGAAGGCCTAGCGCATGAGCTGGAGGAGAAACTGAGGACAGGAGGTAACTCCAAACCAACCTTCCTGGTTTATGCTTTTTAATTTTAATTTCTATCATGCATAGAAGTCCTGGTTTAACTCAAACCCCATTTCCTCTTTGTCTGCCCTGGAAAGACACCCTCCTAAGGCAAGCTCTTCAGAATGTCAGTTCTCAGAGATGGTTTATCAAGGTCACGGGTTAAACAGGTAAGTGATTTTAGAGAATTTGCCCTCCAATCACTTCTGGCTCCAAGGGCAGCGCTTCTTAGCCATGTAAGATGAAGATCTACAGAATTGACTGTTTCGTTCTACCACTATTCCAGGAAATGGGATGCCACTTACGGTCATCATCACTTGCGTCGGGCTCCTCAATCAATGTGCATTGTATGAGGGAGAGGACTCCACCTGTCTGGAAACAAACGGATTGGTGATTAAGAGGTGGGCAGTCTTGTGAAGTTTGGGAAGTTCCACTTTGTAAACTTAATATTCAGGTTGCCCCCGAGACAGCAATTCTACATCATAAATAATTTTCCAGAGTTCAAAACTACACAGAACAAGCAAATGAAAATCATTTAACTTTAACTGAATTCCTCCCACTCTCTCTCGCTCTTGCCCCCACCATTTATAAAATTTATGAAAGCCATCTATGAGAGATTAGATGGCACCACAATGACTTCAGAGAGTGCCACAGCCCAGCACTGGGAATTGGCCAGCCAGGAAGTGTCTTAGGAAATAGAAGGCCAATGTCATGGTGTGAGTAACATTTTTAAAATTTGTTCTATTGTATGTATGCATGTGTATATGCATGAGGTAATGCTATGGCACATGTGAGGAAGTCAGAAGACAGCTGGGGGGAATCGTCCTCTTTCTACCATGGGAGTCCCAGGAACTGAACTCAAACCACAGGGCTTGGTGGCAGGAGCCTTTATCTGCTGAGCCATCTCGCTGGCCCCGTGAATAATGTTTTTAAGCTACAACAGACGATAAATAACAAGTTGGCAAACTTTGCTGACAAAAGGTCAGATAGGAAACATTTTGGGTTCTTTGGGTCACATCATTTCTATCCTGACTCCTCAGATATGTGATTTTAGTGGGAGAGCAGCCACGGGCGTGAGAGGTTATGTGCAAATAGAATGTTATCACTAAGAACAGGTAGTAAGCTTTAGGCTGTAGTTTGATGACTCCTGATACACAGTGAGATTAAAAAAGCAGTTGCCAAATATTTCATCAGTGAGTGCACTATGGTGGACGGACACGCTATCCCTGACTCAGTAGTTGTCAAGTGATAATAATTTTGCCTAGATTTTGATTTTAATAATACTTCTTTATGATAATGTACACTTAAAATAAATTTCTATTGCCTCCAATCCAAAATGCCGGAGCTGTTAGGCACATCCTGCCCCTCCCTGTACAATCGTAGCAATCTGTTTCATGACAATAACAGGCACTGGAGAATCAGAATCAAATTACCCTCAATACCTCTTCAGAGCTGGGGAGACAATGAAAAGAGCCACGGAGAAGCCGTACCTTGAGCAGATGCAGCTTTCCTCCCGAACTCCTTGTACAAATCAGAAAGTGTTTTGTAAACAAGAAGCACTGTCTCTCGCCTTCCTTTTTCAAAGACAGTGAGCCCAGGCGGACTTTACTAAGCTTCCCCCTCTCGACGGAAGGTACTTGAATGAGAGAACCTGGTGATTACAAGAGTGAAGAACAGACACAGTTAAAATCTGGAGAGGACCATGCCCTTGGCAGTAAACAGGAGGATCTGTTTCCCAAAATACCAAGGATGCATTTGCTGTGCCATAGGAACAAATGAATCTCCCCGATTCTAGCCGAGCAAACAATTGTGTTGTATTTGAAGGGACAAGCTGTTCCTAGCATTGTTGTGAAACAATTTCAACTTGATTCTTCATCTACAAACTGGAATCTCAGTTTGAAAGAAGGCCAGCTTCAAATCAAAGCACTGAGATGCTGATGCCATCTATGATCTGACTGAGAAAATTTATAAATCGTATAATTATAGATACTAACATGATAGATAGTTTGATCAAAGTAAGTGGAATTTATCCTTCCTGGAGCAAATAAAATAAAAAGCATATTAATAGTTTACTTTGCATTTTAAAAGTAGATGGGGTAATACATGTATCCTGTAAAAATATATAAATTATATAATTCAGTGCAATTAAGAGCTATCTTTTTTGTTTGTTTGTTTTGTTTTCTTCGAGACAGGGTTTCTCTGTGCAGTTTTGGTGCCTGTCCTGGATCTTGCTCTGTAGACCAGGCTGGCCTCGAATTCACAGAGATCTGCCTGGTTCTGCCTCCTGGGTGCTGGGATCAAAGGCATGTGCCACCACTGCCTGGCTAATTAAGGGCTATCTTAAAGGAAGCTATTTTAAACTATATTTAAATTATGTGCTATACAATGAACACCATTCTGTACAACTAATATATGCTAATAAAAATGCAAAAAAAGTGTGATTGAAATGTATTTGTGACACCCGAATGGAAAGCAAACCACATCCAGAGCAAAGCTGTGGTCTGTTCAGTATGAGAAGTGATACATAGACTTCTGTAATATTTGTATGATATCTGGGAATGCCTCCAATCACTTGCAGACTATGCTCCAGTAGAAACTTGCCCAGTCCTAAAAAGAAAACTCCAGTCTATTAAATACCAACCACAAAGTATCAAGATTCTTGCAGACACCTTGACTCTAACTTCTGAAATCACTGGAGCCAGTAATAATCTGTGTAACCCACCACCCTGTGCAGCCTTACACAGGCTCTCATGAGCCCATAAGAACCACAAAATGCATAATCAATCCTTAAATATTACCAGAGGCATCTCCCAGAGAAACAACCTTATTTTTCTTCATGTTTTCTGGGTTTTTTAAATTGAGCACAGATTAGTTCTATAATGAAAAGTGAGAAAAATCCTCAAGTTTTTTATATAAAAAAATATATACCTAAGGCAATAAAACTATGCGAGTCACAAAAGCACCAGATTAACATTAACCGATGAATGCTCCAAATTGCATCTTCCCATTAACAGAGCTGGTAAGACAGACATCCAGGACCCAGGTTTCCATGCCCTGATCTCACATCATCTATTTAGGTACGTGATTAGGTGGGATGCTTGACAGACAGAAAGTAGGCAGCTTCTCTGGGCTCAAAGAATAGCAGGGAAGCAGTCCTGGGGGAGGGTGTGGGAGTGGGGAACAAAGGGCCGAGCGAAGGCTTGAACCAGGGACGGGGTTGGACAAGAGGAGAATAACTGAAGGAAGGGAGATGGGTGGGAGCAAACTGACAGACAGACAGCTCAAGTAGCAAAGAATTAAATCGAGATGTCGAGGAGGTGTGGAGAAAGCAGAAGGCAGGAGGCTTAGGAAACTTGTGAGCAAGGAATTGCAGCAAAGAGTTGGCACTCATGAGACTTGGGAGGGGTGGGAATTAAACCCCTTCTGCATTTTACAAATGGGGAAACTGAGGCCTGAGTTTAAGTGACTCTCGTAAGGCCACACACATAGGTGCAGGGCATAGTCAGATAATGGCGGGAGATTGAACAGTGTAAAAACTGGAACTTGGAAGCAAAGAGAGGGACTAAGACAATGATGGTGTTAGTCACACCCCAGGTAGTCATACTATGAAGTCAGGTTAGTCAGGGCTGGGTGGAAAGGGGCACTCGGGTAAACGTCTGGGTGGACACATGGGTCACGGGGCCATTTTCAGAGAAGCTGTAACCAAATCTATAATCATGTGTTCATTGGCAAATACTTCTAGCAATTTAAAGCAATTTTCTAAATCAGAAATTACAAAATTTATGGTTAGCACATCTATTAGCAATTATTGTGAATTTCAGCTTTGAGGTTTAAAGACGTTTCCTTGGCAACCATATGCTAAAATGTTAGACTATAACTGTTCACCAAATAGGAGACTATCTACACTGGATGTGGACAGACATCTACTCAACTAAACTAAAAGTGAGAAATCTCAAGACTATTTCAGAAGTTTATAAAATAAACTATTTTATAAAATAAAATGCTTCAAAACTGTGTTTTAAGTTGTCTTTAAGTCTTCACATTTCACCCTTTATTTGACATATTTCAACATAGTCTTGTGACTTTCAGAAAAGATTCCTCTCCAGTTAATGCAAGTTAGACAAACGATTAGTATTAGGGAAATGATTATCGCATCCTCTTTATCAGACCACTGCTGTGGCTCTGTCCTTACTGGGTAGCTAACAACTGAGGTCAACCTGTGGAAGACTTCTGATTCTTCCATCTCTAATTCCCACAGAGTGGCCTCCAAGACTGGCCAATGGCTATATTCTGAATTCTACTCAGTAGTGAAAATGTGAACAGCAATTTTCAGGCCGTTGAGCTTGGTATCTGAGGTGGAAGAGTCACTGTGCTCTGTGCTGTGCTTTCTTACTCTGAGGAGACCTTACTGAGGATCGGGGTGGTTTATTTCTCTTGGAAATCATATAAAGTTGAGAGCACACATGTGCAGATGCAAGCACACATACATTGAAATAGATCGTATATCACCCATCAGAGTGATTAATTAAAAATACTAGAATACCACTAAAAATAACTTGTAGTCAGTTTAGTAGGGAATAAGAGCCCTTGAGAGTTTAGTGAATAGTACTTCTAAAATGTGTTTTGTGGGTGTAAAAGCCTGTTAAGACTATTTCGTGAAAGTGCTAATAGGAGAGATTCAAGGAAAAGAGCTCAAACTTTCCCAATTATAATTGATTACTTTCTAGTTTCAGATCAAGTTCTGATGTGTAGGAACAACCTTTATTGAATAACTCTTAAATAAACTAACCAGGTCAAACACACAACAAGATCAGCAAGACTGCTGTAAAGCAACTGACATTGCTGTATCAGTAACACTCATGGCTGACCTTGCCTTAGATGTAGCATATAGCAGAATAAATAACATGCGGATGTGGCTTAAGGGTGAAGCAGTATATGATTTTTATCTCTTAAAGTGTAACAAAACATATGACTTGCTCAATGCATTTGACCCTCAAACACATTTCTTTAATTCTGGGTTTCTGTTTCAGAGTCATAAGGAACTAAGTTTTATAAATACATTGAGTGAATGTAGATACTAACTCTGTTCAATCAAAAGTACGTTCAGAAATTGTATGTAAGTTACAGAAAGTCCCCTGTCCATTCTTAGATATAAAGTATAGATCAATTAGGAGACATTTTTAGAGAACTCTAAATACAAGAAAAATATAAATATCTTACAACTTCAATCAGTAAACTATCCGGTACTTCAATTCCCACTTTCCCAGTAGCTTTAATAGACAAGGGGAGGCAAAGAGAATCCAGGGATGCTGCCTTTCAGAGCTTGCAGTTACTGGGAGAAGGAGGCATGCAGAGATTCCTTTACACAAAAAGGACAGAATCCATGCTCCATTGGCAAATGCAAATGGAGAGGACAGTCAAGTCACTGTAACTTGAGGCCAAGTGGATGGGAAGATGAACAAACTTCCAAAGACTTCTTATCTGGCCTGGACTAGTTAGGTCAAGTGGACCTTTCATAGGCACAAAAGAGGTAGAGTAGGTCTTTCCCACCCCCAGGTAGGGGAAGACCGAGGTGAAGGCACAGGCAGGCAATGTACCTTGAGGCAGAAAGCCAGCCACCATAGGGACACGGTCCACACAGAGGAATAGGACAGGAATTGAAAAGCCTGGTGTTGTTAGCATTGTACTTTACTATTACCTTAAGAAAAGTTAGTATGTAGTCTTGAAAATGGGAAAAGGAATTAATTCCTAAAATATACTCCCCAAATTTAGCGTATGCGTAGTGTCTCTCCTTGTAAATAAATAACAGACAATACAATGGCATGGGTTAATCTTTTTAAGTATTCTAGGCAAAAAATAATGTGGACTGCATAATGTCTTATTTCATGAGGTAAAACATATTTTAAGCAGAATATTATGGAAGGAAATAGTAATAGCTTCAAATGATATTGGCACACCATGGCCAGAAGCGGCATTAATGATTAATTCAAGTTCCAAGTTTATGTTTCAGTACACACCAATTCCAAAACTATAAAGATGTGCAGCAGAGCATGCTGTTTGCTCGGATCCAGCATATGGAGCATGCCCTCATCCCCCAAGACACCTAAGCCCTTGAAAGTGTCTTGGGAATGTGGCTGACTTCTTGTACTATGAAAGAAGAGTTGAGGAGGGATATGCATCATCAGGCTGGTCCTTGTCCAGTGTTTGTGACACAGCTTCATCTCTTCCGAAGCTTAATTAATCAGGCGTTGCCCCTCACAAAGCACATGCCACACCCAGGATAGCTTCACCATCTCCAAAGCCTGGTAGGGACCTTTCCACCTGGTAACCGGAGTTATGGATTGAATTAAATTATATCATGTGGCACTGAGTCGGAAGTTCCAGGTGAGGGAGGGGAAGGACAGACAGCTGTTTTCACTCCGGACATTGTCCCCACTCTTCTGTGCAAGAGCTTTGAGGAATGCCAGTGTCTCCTGAGCCTCTGCCTGGATATCATCACCACTTGGTACTGCCATTCCGATTGGCCAGACCAACCTGTCCTCCTCGGAGCTGTAGAGCATGTCCGGTCCACTGAGGAGGAGAGTCCAGCCAGAGTGTAATTTACTGCCCTCTCCTGCTTTACTATTATTGTGTTGCTGTTTCTCATGGCCCCTGAAAAGAAACAGCACAGAGGTGGGCCTCAACCACAGCCTTGGTCAAGGCCACAGGGGTGTCCTGCATGAACTGCACCAAACACATAGGCCTGCTCCAGAACGTGTCCCTGGATCTGCCAGAGATACCGTGACAGACACACAGATCACATAAGCAGAGGGCCTGGTCTGTTGACAGGTCTTACCTTGGCGGATGAAAGTCTGGCTAGTGTCCAGCAGAATGTCACACCCCTCCACTATCATCCTTTCGATGGCGAGGTTTTTCCTTATGTTTTCAGTGTCGCTCACTTCGTCATGCATCACTCTGTCAGATACACGCAGAGAGGACGGCGGTGAGAGACATGAGCTATGGCTCCGGCAGCTAGGGAGAGACAGTGCCCCCTGACATGCTCGGGCCTGAATGTGAACGGAATGCACCTAGACCGTGAGAGAAGACTGACCTCCAGGCTTCAGCCAGCCACAGCCTAAAGCAAGGCCACACCGTGTGAGCAGATTGAAAATGGTAAGGGGACCAGCCCCCAAAGTGGCAGTGCTCGCTTTGAATGCAACACGAAAGAGACCCAACATTTTACAGATGGCTCCCTTCGTTAACATTGAAGTGTCATCCCTCAAAGGCACTAAGTTAGAGACTGCTACACTACTTGTCCCATTTCATCTGAATCATATTGGTGACAATCTGCCCGTTCTCCAGCTTCTTGTAAAAATCTGAACACAAAAATGCAACAGAAAGTCATTTTTCTATTTTGATGGAAAAAATGAGAGAAAATTTGCAAACTTGACCAAAATATACCTGCTCTCAACTATATGAATTCACATGCTATGAGAACTTTTCAAAGATGTTTTTCTTGATTAAAATGGATGTGAATGATAATTCAGCGCCATCTTTCACTCTAAGATGAAACTAAAATGTTGGATCTACCATTGGCTTCCTCTCCCTTGAAATCCACGCGCCAGGTTTCTACAGGAGGCTACCACGCTGTTTCTTTCCCACTCTGCAAGTTCCCTGCAACTCCCGCAAGTTCCCTGCATACCTGGACAGTTCTTCCAGCTTTGACTTAGCAAACTCCAGACTTTTCCTCTCCACATGTTCATGGGGGGTATGAGCCAGGAGTTCATGCAGCGTGATGATATACCTGGGGATCTAAATACACACCTAGGTGAGTGTGAACAAGAGGGCCAGGTGGATAACCTGAGGATGCTCTCTACAGGGGCCAGCACCTTCGGAGAGCTCACCCCTATCCTTATAATTCTGAAGGTTTTACAGTCTTTAAAGGAATACGTATAGACTGAACCAAGCTTCAAACCTCATACACCAAGAAAGTCTATGCCAAAAATGCAAGAAAAGTTGGTCATAAATGAAGAAACCTAGTATAAAGGAGCCATTGTTTAAGTTTGTACATAACTGTGCGTGTTTGAATTAGGGTTTTTGCAGACTGGGTCATGGGAATACAGATACTGCTGTTTATCAAGCCTCTTGAGTCTATTTGTAGAGGTGTGCTGTCTGTTTATATACTTATTTAAAAACCGACAGTCCTGCCAGTGCTCTCTTAACAATTGAAATCAGGAAGGATATGTTCACCCGTATTGACATTCCAATCCGACTTCATCTCACTTCACCCTCCAGCACTGCGAGTGTTGTTTAACTAGGTTCTTTATCTGTGCTTATGGTATAAACAGTTTCTGAATTCTGTAAAAAGCAGAACTCCACCAGCTGTATGAGACTTTTAGTAAACCGGAGAAGAGATTTAACTCAAGTTACAGACTCAACATCCTTTTCCCTCTCTCTTGCGCTCCTAAAACAGTCTCTTAGAAAGTAAGAAACTAGACTTCAGAAAAGTGTGAGCAACCACTCCAACACACCGCTTTCTGCGGGCCCAGGAGAACTCTGAGCCTTGTGGACATGTCCACTCCTCCAGCAACATAAGGATTAGTTCTCCACTTGGCAAGTAAGGAAATAAACTTCAGGTCCAGTAACCTATCTAAGGTAGATCTTAGGACAGAAAAGCAGCCTTCCAGAGCTCTGTGCGTAGCTCATCCCTCCTGTCCTTAGGGTTGGTGGCCCTGTCTGTGGCTGTGCCTTTGCTGTTCACTTGTGACCATCATGGGGCTATTTGCTGTTCACTCTTGAGTGCCTACTTGATGCATTCACGTGGACAACAGTCGGCATCAGTGCAGACGTGCACAGCAGCTGAACGGTGGAATCAAGGTCTTAGGAAACACAGGCCAAGATCCCTTGGTCAGAGAAGGGTAGGAAATGAGAGCCCTCACTGCAGGACAGATGAAGGAAGATTCCTGCCTCTTTCTACAAACTTCTCACCAAAGCATCCTTTAATACCATCTCACATGGAAAAGCCTCCCGGGACAAAGATGCTTACAAATAACTCTTTGGATGACACAATCCCATGATGGCAAAAACGATGCTAAAAGTTAGTACTTCCACAGAAAATCGAGCCATCACCAGCTAATATACTCAGTTTTTCCTAATGAGTCCAGAGTAGGGGGGCCTCACTACTTACTATGCCCTGAAACCCCACTAAACTATGTTTAGTAGATGGCTTCATGCTCCTCCTCCATTAGTTAAATCTATTTTAAAGACTTCTCTGGCTAAGGTTCAAGAGGATGGAGCTGGATTCAGTAACTGGCCCCTTCCACTTTCTGGTACAGGGATGAAGAAATGCTCGCTCTGGCTGAAGGCAGGCAGAAGAGGTTCTGCTGAGGAGTGGGTGACGGCAAAGAGCTTGTCTCTGGAGTCAAGAACTCACTGCAGAGTTTCCTCCAAAACGTCTAGCAATCACAGCAGCTATCAAAATGAATCATACTTCTACTTTCAATAAAGGAACAAATACTTGTCACTTTATAGACTTTAATTAGCTTGCTCTCCTCTCTCTGTTAATAGCTAGCTAGAGCAGCGAGAGACTACACATCTCACAGCATCGTTCTCGGAGGGAGCAGATGTCATGACTGGCTTAGCTGTGGACTTTCAACACATACACATCCAAATAAACAGATGAGCACCTGGAGACTCCTCGGACAGTACCAACCAAGGCACTGCGTTTGCTAAATAAAAAAATTTAATGACTCTATTATTTCTATAACAAGTTGCTTGGTAACAATAGGACTTACTAGTTCTGACTAATCATCCCAATTCCATAATTCCTACCTGTTTTCACAGTTCAAGGCAGCAACTGACTTAACAAATGCCCCAGGAAAACAGCATGGAGACCAGGAGCAGAGGTCTTGCCTTGTGTGAGGTCTTGAGTTAAATTCCCATTACAAAAAGCAGGGGGTGGAATGGGGGGCATTACTCTGTCAACTTCTCTCTTCCATCATGCACAAGCTACAGGCTAAAAGCCTCCAATTCTAATCTCTCCTCCCCCTCCCTCTGGCCAGACACCAACCTCTGCCTCCATATTTAAGTCAATGCTTAAATATGGACCAGAGGTCCTCTGGCAGTGTAAAGGGGTGTCACATCTCCCACTGTTGCAGGGTGGGGGTGTGTGTCTAGCACTACCCAGGAGCAAGGTCAAGGCATGAAAGGATTACTTCAGCTCAATGTATGTCAGGAAAGAAGCGACATCCCAGATCTTCTGAGGGTGCAAACACCCTCACGATGTCTTCACCCGTTAGTGAGGGACTATGAAGAGAAGGAGGATGAGAACTGAATGAGCCCAGGAAGAAAAACCTTCAAGTTTCCAGAAAGAGTACCTCCCTCTAGTTGTTTCAAATGGTTTCTCCTTGGGGAGACCCCAAGTAAGAAGAAGCCAAAGGACAGACCCCAAGAAACCCAAGGCCAATGGGCAGCAAATGGGCTTTGAAAGCTTCGAGTTAATTCACCATGGAAGAAGTCAGAGAGCATTACTATCTGGTCCCTCACCTCAGTTTTAGGGTTTAGAGCTACCACAGTCAGGGCTGGAGGAGGTGGATCTAGGCAGCCTTGCAATATGGCATGGTTACCCAACCTAAACTGTCCAAACCAGTGACATCCACCGGTGATCACGGTCAAGATCTGAAGCACTTGGAGATAACCAGGGCTCAGCTGCCCCCATCAGAGACTGTGCCAGTATCAATGAGAGGGAAGGCTAAGTATGTCATCAGGTCTCATCAAGACCCCCAGCTCCACACTCTTCTCTGACCTGATGGGAATGCCTCCAAGTGAATCAACATGCTTAGCCGTGGCTGCTGGACTTAAACTCTGCAGGGGGAAGGAAGGGAAGATGGAGGAAGGCCCCTCCAAGGCTCAGCATTCAACTGCATTGAGGGGCCCTGTCCACAGTGCAGGTAAAGTTCTGCCAGTTTAAAACTCTGAAAAGATCACACCTTGAGGAATTAAAAAGCATGTGGAAGAAACATTGCGCGTAGGGAGCTTCATGCACCTTAAACAATTCTGTCTTTGGAGCCACCTGACCTGGGGCTGCTGACAGATGTGGTTTGGGGTGCTGAATCCTAACCTAGAGGTCACTGCTGAAAATGTAAATAGCATCACAGAAGAGCAATGTATTCGTGAGGCTCTTCACTGTCACTCAAACCTGAACTTCCGTCTGTATATAGAGCAAAACAAAAGTGTGTCATCTTTCCTAGGAAATACTTCCTCAGAGAGGCAAAGAGTTCAAGCAAAATAGTTACATGATATACATACATACATACATATAGATAGATAGATCGTTATGAAGTTTCACTACTCTTAAGTGTTTTCAAATGCAGCCTTTTGGTTTTTAAAACTCTTACTGAACTACCATGGCCACTTCCAAGGTTCCAAGCAGTACCGACAAACCCTAAGACAAACAATTATGGACCACAGACATTTCCCCCTGAGTCTCCAAAAGGGTTACCCGGGGCCACTGCTGCCTGCTCAGAGGACAAAATGCTCCACAGTAACTATAACACACATGATGAGAAGAATCATTTTACCACATGACAATTTGGAGGCCTCGCCAAAAGCCCCATAAATTCCACAACAGGAACACTCAATGCCTTTCCAAAAGAACAGAATCCGAAGTTTCCAAAAGAACAGGAGACTCCATGCCCATTTTGAGTTCTGTGGGACTCCCTCATGTTAGGGTACTTCAAGGGAAAGCCCTGAAGGCAGGGCTACGTGTGTGCTTCATCCTGTGGGTCTCCCTAGTTGCCAAGAATGAACATCAGGGTATAGCCTTCCTTAAGAAGAGCCACATGGCCAGGTCCCCACAATACCCAGGTCTAGCCAGTGCCTTCTAGGCTGTGGGATTAAGAAGGCCTTGTTTGGTTCTCCAAAGTTCCAGCCAAGAGAAACTTCACAGTAATCCTGCTGCAGCAGGAGAGGGGTTGAAAACGGAGACTTCCCAGCAGCCGCTCCAGTCCCCGAGAACCTTTTATGCAACCAGCATAAACCAGTGCATCTGCAAAGAATCCTATTTCTGGGAGCCTAATAATATTTTTAAACATGCTGGAGGTGGAGACTCCACGGAAGAGGTCTGTGTGGGATCATTCTATAAAGACAAATTACTGCTAAAAACAAAAATCATTCCTCAATTATTTGCCTCAAAAAGTGCTTGCTTTCTGGGCTGGAGATGTAGCTCATTGGTAGAGTTCTTGCCTAGCATGCACAATGCCCTGAGTTCAGTCTCCAGCACTAGAAAAATGCCAAGATATCCTCGATGACCTGTAGTTGGTAGCACTGAATTAGAATCAAGGACTTAGATGCTACATCCCAAGTGGTGAGTTAGAATCAAGGACTTGGAAGCTACATCCCAAGTGGTGAGTTAGAATCAAGGACTTGGAAGCTACATCCCAAGTGGTGAGTTAGAATCAAGGACTTGGAAGCTACATCTCAAGTGGTTTACCTGAAACATTGGGTAGGTCAAGAACGTCTCCAGCATCCTCCCCTCACAGGCAGGATTGGCTTCATACTGTTTTAAGAGCTTGTCAAAATCTCTGTTTTGTTTACAGTTGGCAAGTACTTGGAGGCTGTACTGGTGATTACGCACAAATTCTTGATAAATGTTCAGCATGGGCAGCAAAATATCAAACAGATCAGCTGGAAGAGAGAAGAAAGCATGGCTATTTCCCTTGGTGCTTGGCGAGTTTACCACAAAAAGCACCTCCCAGCACCACACAGCTCAGGCCCTAGTTACCCGGCCTGCAGGACAGATTGGGTAGAGTTTGCAGCATAATGTGACTCTAGTTCCACATGACTTATATAGACCGAGGGGAAGAAAGCATCAACAGGTAGCTACTGAGACATGGCCCAGTACAGCAAGACAGAGTCCCAGTGCCTAAGGAAACTCGTCAGTTAACAATGAAGTCTAGACAGACATTCAATGCTGAATAACACATACTATACCCTAGCACTGGCCATTCAACAAAAATCTAGATCCAGAAATAATTACTTACCTAAAACCAAAGTAGGCCAATTGGCCAGCCTCGCCTTTAGTCCTTGATGGAATATTTCATGAAGGAACATGATTGTTTCACTATAAAAACATAGATAAACAATACCACTCAGTAACATAAAGCATCTGTCCTGCAAGAAGCTCAACAAAATATTAAAGTATTACTATCCATGTACATGATATAGCAGTCTCATGGGGCCTTCAAACTAATAGCTCGGACCTTTTACCTGCCTCCATACATCAATTCCTCTTTTAGCCTCAGAAACCAAGATGAACCCCAAAGTCAAGAGGACAGGAAGCTCCCAGAATCTGCTTCTGTTTCACATTTACGGTCTTCTGCTCTTAAATTCAACATTCCAAGAAGAGCTTTACTCCCCCAGCTCTTCTGACAAATTCTAAGCAAAGGATTTCCTCTGGTGAGAGAGGGACTGCCCTTTCCTACACTGAAACCTGTCTGCTGCATCCCCCTTTGTATTTTGATACCTGAATTAGGAAACAAGTGAAACCAATGTTGTACATAATTGGGAAAACCACATTTCCTTAGGTATAAGCTCTGCTGCAATTCAAGATAATTGGCCCGCCTGGGCTTCATTTCAAAGACAAGGGAATCTAGTTGAACAGCAACCATGACCACACATGCCCTGTGTGGCCACCCATTTAAAATGCACCTCTTCCGTTCTCCGTCTGGGACTCGGTGCGCAAACAGTAGCTGGGCTGTATGAAGAGCTCAAAGTCTTAGCTTCCAATCAAGAGGCCTAGCATTCACATTCTGAATGTAAACAGTGTTCTCCTAGCCTTTCCTCATCTAGATCAAGTAGTCCTGTGGAAGTAAATCATCAGGGCAGCCTAAAACCCAGGGCCACGCGCTTGGATGGCCACTGTCGGAGAGAGCAGTTCACAGTACTATGCATGCCGTCATCCACACATGCTTGGATAACTGTTTCCAAAATGCTAACAGCACCGCCTCAGGAAGACGACGTGAGGGTGCACATTCAAAGTGCCCCCTCTCATTGTTTTGACTTTCGAATCATATCAGTGTATTACCTACTCAAAAACAGATAAATAATTAGTATTTCAGTAAAACACCCAAGACTTCCTCCCTCCATTTCTTCCTTTGTCTTATTTTTCTCCACAGCGTTGATCACTGGATCATATACTACATATTTTCATTTATTCGCTGTCCATTTCTGTTCTCACATTAAAATATAAATGTCATGAAGGCAGGGGGTTTCTCCTCTGTCCATTAATTGATCTTCAGCATAAAAGGGCACTGCAAATGCTTACTGCAGAAATAAATCCAACAAGGATTCTCCAGCCATCTTAGTTTGTATGCTTCCTAAAATGCTTCTGTGTAAATTGCACAGAGAGACCCATCAATCACTCCATCTCCTTCAGCTTGTGGAAGAGAGGATCTTCCACACATACATACCCCCACACAGTAACAAGAACGCAAATGTCAAACTGAGACACAAACCGAGAAAATGAGATGTCAAGATTCAAGTGAAATGCAAATACAGGCTAACAATGCCATTCAAGGATTGCATCCTTGTTCTTAACCTGAGAGCCGAAAAGTTGAATCGGCGAGACCTCATCTTTTCTGACTAAAATAGGGACGTTTTCAAGAAATGCCAGTGAGCTATTCCCAAACTATCCATTTATGCAAAGACAAACCTGTTGAGAAAAATGCTGCTGACATCATCATGGCTAATGGGGGGCTTCTTGGAGCTGGCCGCCATCCGCAGGGGCCGGAGGAAACCATTCACCAGGATGTAGAGCTGGTGCACGTACTCTGTCTCGGCTTCCACCATGGTGAACACGATCTGGTTTCTCTTCCTCATGCTCTCAGCATGGGGAGAACAAATGTAGTCCTGCACGATGGTCTTCCACTTCCTCCTGCACAGCCATCCTCGCATGAAGCTCTGAACCTACAGGACGAGGAAGTGAAGGAGTCTGGGAGATGAGACAGTACGTGGATAAATGCCACCCTTTGAATGGCGCACTGATGCTTTCTTCAGTACAATGGCAAGCCTTCACCAAATAGCAGGGGAAAATGATTTTAAACAGGTTTTCTGAGGTTCACAAATTTCTGTCATAGCTTAAAAGCATTGACTTATTTATATAGATACTAGAATATACTACTACTTGGCTAATAATACTTTAAGACTTAGAGAATATATTTAAATAATAGTTAAAGGTTTGTTTTTAATAAGAAATAATCCTATATATTTTTGTGGTAAAAAAAATTACCATCTTAATAATTTTTAAGTGCCAAAGATTGAACCCAGGGTCTTATGCATACTAGGCAAGTGCTCCACAGTTGAGCTCCAGACCACATTTTAGAAAATGATTTATTTATTGTTTGTGTGTATAGGTGTGTGTGTATTTGAGTTTATGTACATGTATCATGTATGTGCAGGAGCCCATGGAAGCCAAGAGAGGACATCAGGTCCCCTGGAACTGGAGTTACAGATGGTTGTAAGCCACCATGTGGGTGCTGGGACCCATCCTTGTTCTCTGCAGGAACTGACCAATTTCATTTACTAAAATGTCTTCAAGGTTCACCCATATTGAAGCATGTGCCAGGGTTTCTGTACTTTTTAAGGATAAATGATATACCATTACCCATTTATCCTACTCATCTCTGCTGGGCATTATGGCTGCTTCCATCCCTTAGCCATTCTGAATAGTATTGCTATGAACATGGCTATGCCAATATCTCCTCAAGATCCAGATCTTGCTGTCATGTCTTTTGAAATCTACCCAGAAATGGAATTAATTGCTGGGAAAATGTGTTATAGAATTTCATTGAGGTTTATTTAGCATTTTACAATCCATATCACACAGTTATCCCAATTTCTCCACATCCTCATTGAAATGTGTCATTTTCTTCCTGTTTTTTCTACAGTAGCTGTCCCAGTGGGTGTGAGGTTCTGTCTTCTTACGGTTTTGATTTGTACCTTCTCCAATGATTGGTGATCTTTCCATGCGCTTGCGGATCATTGGTGAAACGTCTAAATAGTGGTCTATTCAAGTACTTTGCCCATTTTAAACCAGCTGATTTGATTCTTTTTATTGATGTTGCATTTTGTTTTGCTTTGCTTATTTAACCTAAAAAATAAGTGTTGGAACTGGCTCATCCAATCCCTCCTACAAATGAGCAATCCGAGGTTTCAGATAAGCTGCAAGCTGGGAAAGCTGCAGACCAAGCCAACGTCCTTTAACACGTCCTTCCTTGAGCTCTTATCAACCGTGTGGACAGGACATACATTGTTCTTTGCAATGATGAATAACTTTTAAAGGAATAATTTAATATAAAATCTCTTTTGTAGAAACATCATATATCCTTTAAAATGGATCTGAATTTCCTTGGCACAATAGGGAAAGTGCACTAATCTGTGTGGTTTGACCAGTCAACAAACACTTGCTGAATATCTGTTAATTGACCAGGTAACCGAAACCCTGAGAAAACAGCTATGTATCAAATCCTTCGCTCAAAGGCAGGGTGCTTTGAACTCCGATCCTGTTTCCTCAGAATGGACCCTAAAATAAAAGGTCCTCACTAACTATAAAGATTACCAGATAAGTAATTAGGATGTGGCACTTTAGAGATGACAGATTCAGCAAGAAGGCATATTTCAGGTTCACAATTCATTAAAGTTTTAATTCCCTACCTGATCCCCTTAATATGACCATCATCTATTCAACATTCCTGTAGCATGAATCTTAAAAGGTCTTATTAATAAAAATAAACCCAGAGCCAGGTATTGGGGTGAATGCTGAAAGATCAGAGAAACAGAACAAGCCACAGCTAACCTCGCCTCGCCAATTCCTCAGCTGATCTTGTTTCCTCAAATTGGAAGCCTCTGAGTCCTCATCCAAATGGATCACTGCTGCTAAAAGCCTAAAAGCTTAACAAGACTCTAGTTCCTGGTCCTCACACCTTATATACCTTTCTGCTTCCTGCCATCACTTCCTGGGACTAGGGTGTGTGTCACCATGCCTGGTTGTTCCCAGTGTGGCTTTGAACTCACAGAGATCCAGACGTCTGGATCTCTGCTCCGGAATGCTAGGATTAAAGGCGTGTGCTACCACTGCCTAAACCTATGTTTAATATAGTGGCTGTTCTGTTCTCTGACCCCCAGATAAGTTTATTGGGGTGCACAATATACCAACCACACATTCCTTTTTAATATCTCTTTCACCATTGTGATATAAATTGTCATGCATTTAATTTTGCAACACTTAAGATGTTGCCACATGCCTTCTAATTTTGACACCCCGCATCAGTTCCAATATGGCCGTTAAAACTGCTACACTCAAACAATAGAAATTAAGCACATTTCAATAGAATTGTATGAAGAAGTTCTATGCATACTATTTTGAGAATTCTAAAGGACTTTTTTGTGAATTATAAGCAATTTTGAGTTGCAATCTTTTGAAGTCTTTTAGCCTTTTAGCTACAATTTGCCAAGATTAGAGAAGTTATGTGGTTCATTTGTAAACAACCTTTCCACAGACATTTATTTGATTTTGGACATTAAAAAATAATAGTTAATTTTGAAATCTATTAACAAGTTAAAAAATAGGATTAAAATTGCTTCTTTGGAGAATCACAAAGGTTCAAAACTATGTTTTTATTTTTGTTATTCTCTTATTTAATAGAAATAGGTTTAGAAAATTCAGCTCAATTAAAATTTGTGTTAAATAAAATCTTTCTATTCACTTTGGCAGATGTTCCCTGATGAACAATAGCTGCCTCATTTATTTACTAACAGATCAGCTCCCACAATATGGCTGAAAATTGGATATTATTAATATCCTTGTTTACATGAAACTGCGTACTATTAAAAGAAAGGCAATAGCATTAGTTTTGGAACACAGTATCATAAACCAGATTCCAATAAAAGATTATAATGCTAAGAAAATAATAGTTTTATTTTACTTTATTATTTCTTGAAAGTTGAAAATGTTCAACTCAGTCCAAAGAATCTGTTCCAAATTCTGAACATTTGGTTAAAAAATGTTTATATCTAGTAGGGAATAATTATTTAATATAGAAATATAATTTCTTCCCAACTATGAATGCGATAAAATCAGGAGTTTCAACAGCACTGCATTCACCCAATAGAGTACACTGCTGTCTAAATGTGTGTTTTTAGCGTTCTTCCCAGAATCCAAAAGGGAAGTTCTAGTTCTGGAAAGAAATCTCAGGCTGAAATTTTCCAGACCGGTGTGGATCCCAATGAAGGGACAGTCTAGAAGCCATTTGTAGAAACACCAAAGCTGTTACCAGCTTGAGGACACAATAACAAAGTCGCCATCACAGAACAGGCAACTGGTCACCATGCTCCCAGAAGCCTCCCACTTCTTACCTTTTTAATCTTCTTGATGTCTGGATCCTCATCCTCCTGATGGCTGTGGTAAGGGCGCATCCGTTCCTTGGTTTTATTAAGAGCAACAATCTGTAACACAAAAGAGGTCCAGTTCAGGATTTGGGAAATGGTGGTATACAGCCATACTAAAGAAGTTCTACCCATGAAGACATCCAGAAACTGTCATTGTGTACGCCCTCTCCTTATTTGGTGCTCTGATGCAGGGAACATGAGTCTTACTCCAAGCCTGGAATTTCAAGTCCTGACAGGCAGTGATCCACAAAGTGTGACCTGAGGTTTGCCTTAAGAGAAATAGTAGTCCAGAACTTAGCCCTGACAGACCAGGCCAGTGTCTCCTCATGACCCTGCCTGAAGGTAGATGCCATGAAGACAGAGACACTCAACTTAAAGCTCTTGTAATCAACCAGTGGCTTTTGAAGTGTGTATCCCACAGTCCTTGTGCAGTCTTTGAGACATTGTGGCTACTATGGCAACCTCGGTGTCCTGGGGTTGATGAAAAGGGCTAGTTCAAAGAAGTAAAGAGGACTGGAATAAACTGCCCCCGTGTGACCTGTAAGGGGGAATTTAAGACCTAGTGACTTCTTGCCTTCACAGCAGTACAGTTTTCTAGTGTAGCCTCAATTGTGGTTCACACAAGCCTAAGAATTTAAATAGAATCATTGAGAAGCCAAGACTGAAAAGGTAAGAAAATTGCCCCCCCCCACACACACACACCAGTGACCTGTCTCTGTCTTTGGATCTTATCCCCAAAATCAAATATACTCTACTTCCATTTTCTAGGAGAAAATGGGAAGATAATGGGATAAGAAATAATTCCTGTCAAGCAGCTACAAAAGACTACAAAAAAAAAAAAAAAAACCAAACCCTGCCTCTGACAGCTTTTCACTGCAATTTATATTCTGACTAAAGCAGAGCATAATGGAGACAGATAAACACACACAAGCAAATGTTGGGGAGCACCGCTTGGTGTTGAGTTCCTGTCATGGTGTAAATACCAACCTGCTTCACTCAATAAACAGGCATCTGCTCTGGTGTACCCAGGGCAAAGAAAGAACACAATAATTTTGTTTTAAATTACATGCCTGATATATCCTTTTAAAATGCAGGTTTGTTAAGGTTTCTGTTGCTGTTCTCACTGTATCAACTCTCGGGGCTGCACAGAGGAGGCTGGCGAGTCTAATGATACGGTGAACACACTTGGCAACTCATCGTCCCTAAAGGAGTTCTCGTCTCCATGCTCGAGCCAGATATGCCAAGCGTCCCACTCTCAGGATACCTGGGAGCAGGAGGTGAAACCCACGCAGGAGTCCCAGTGAGCCTCAGGGAGGTGTAAGAGAATGAAAAGGAAATGTTTGCACAGTAAAAATGGCAAGAAAGTTGTCAAAGCTGAGAAGCCTGTCAGCAAGGATCCATGACTACTACCTTCGGAACCCTATCCTTTAGATCTAAGAGACCAGTGTACCTCTGGCTAGAACAGAGAGGACAATCTAGTCTCTACATCCCTCCTCCGTTCTTCAGTTACGGCTCACTTTCTGTGAGCACCCACAAGAGAGCCTGGAAAGGTCTCTGCATAGATTGAGACCTGGGACAGAAGGAGGACCCAGGCATAGCACCTCGGCTATAGACTCCAAGACTACCTACTCCATCATGTAACAGTAACACCACCCTGAGGTTCACCAGAAGTTCACATTGAAGGAATGGGGGCCAAGGGAGAGACAGAAATGCCCCACAGTCAATCAGTGTCTTCTTGTTTAGCCCAATTGTGCTTCTCAGAATTCTGCAGGGGGCAAGCTAGAAGTAAAGTGTTTTGTAATTAGTATCTGGTCCTTCCTTGGATATCATTTTGGACTTTAAGTTATTCCATGGCAGACTCACAGCTGTTACTCCAAGAGTCTGTCTGATGACTATTATACATATGTGTGTATATATATATATATATATATATATATATATATATATATATATATATATATATAGAGAGAGAGAGAGAGAGAGAGAGAGAGAGAGAGAGTGCTTCTTATCTAACAAAGGACATTAGGGGCACACATAACAACAGAAGATTCCATGTTTATCATGGTGGTATGTTCTAGCAACACATCTACGTGACCCTGAAGCCGACAATGGGTTCATGTCTAGATCAGCAGCCAGCCATATATCTGTTGATAGCAGAGCTAGGCATTACTTTTTTCTTGAGATTATCTTTTTCTCCTGAATATTGGACAGGTATTCATGAGGAAGTGACAGAAGGCAGGAAATACCTCTGATTTAAGCCTTTCGATTTCGGTGTCTTGATCTTCCAGCTGGTGTCGAAGTTGGTTAGCAGCAATTTTTTCTGTCTCCACGATCTGAACTAGATGAATGTACTTCTGCATTAGCACTTCCCTTTCAATCAAAATGTCCGCATAACTTAAGAGAAAATTACATAGTTAGTCACTGGCATGTTGCTCCACCACAATTTCACATAGCAGTGCTCACGCATTTAAAAAGGGACCCACGCATGTTGTTTGACTAGTTCTACCTTACACGCTAACCTGCCTCATACAGTTGGCGTCTCCATAATATAGAATTTCAGTATTCATCATATTACATATTCTCCATCTAAGAATCCATTTAATGCTGGCTGCTACCCACAATTTTAACATGACTATGAGAAAAAAAGCCAAGGAACTCTGACAGATTTTAATATGAAAGTGTATGACTTCTTTAAGGAAGAGATTGAGTATTTTGAATTGATGCCATTAGTCTTCAAGGATGGGATTAAAAGCATATCATCAACCAGTGAAATTGACCTTCTATTGGCCAGAATGAAGACGGCAACCCTGAGAACAAGGTCTGTTCAGGAAGAACTGTTTTGGCTCTCATGGAGACCACCCATTCTGTGGGGTACAGATCATCCACTACTCTGTTCTGAAAATGAGCAGAAGCCACACACATGACAGAGAAAGTTAAACTCTTTGGTCCATGACTTCAGCACCTCACCTATGTCCATTTCTTCAGCTAAGCACGATAGAGAAAACCTGCTCTTAATTTTTACTAATAATGCAATATTGAGGTGCATGGAATACGATGTAATGTCAAGGCACTTGGAATATGATGTAACGTCGAGGTGCCTGGCATATAATACAATGTCAAGTCGCCTGGAATTTCACATCAGATCCTTTTGCACTGTTTAGGGTGGTAAGGTACATGTTCCTCTCTTCATAAAACCTTTTCCAAATGGCCTGATAACAGTTGTAATTAATAACGGACACTACTTGTTGAGTGTATAGGACAGATCATACATTTTCTCATTGCGTACTCCCTGTAATACAAGAGGCAGGGTTTATGATCGCAATCTGTAGGGGAAGAATTGGTTCTCAGAATACATATTGACCCCAGGGTTAGGATCAAATCAAAGTTTGTCTGACCTGAGTCTATGATATAACCACAAGCCAAATTGCTCTCAGGGGAGAAACAGCACCAGACCCCTTGGAGGCTTCTGCCAAACCTCCAGGCTGCTTGTCTTTGCTCTGGGACTTTGACCCACTGAATGTTTGTATCTCAAAACCTCCCTCAAGATCATGGTGAACAAACATAGGAGGAGAGGCCTGGTGCAAGCTGTACCAAATAGAATTTTTCTCCATGGAATCCTGCTCTGTGTGCTTTAAGTGAGATGAAAGGGGCCTGGGAACTCAGGTTGCCATTGTTGGGCAGCCTTGGTTAGCCGCCCCTTCCCAAAGCAGTCACAGGAAGTCTGCTGAGGAAGAAAAGCATAAACAGGCGTTCAGAAAAGCAAACACACAATGAGCAGAATGTCTGAGAGAGAGAGGCAGTAGCTACCTGGGTTCTGCTTTCACAACATCTGAGTAGAATTACACCCTGGAGTTCAGAGAGTCGTGTGGTTTCCTTCTAGTAAATTCTTTTTCTAACCACTTTGAAATAGCATTGTATCACTGAAAACTAAGAAGTCTTGGGACCACACTAAGGTCACACGGTAGCTGAGTCACCCAACACACTCAGCACCGGCATCACAAGTGTTGATGAGGATCCAGAGTTAGTAGAGGTCTCAAGTCACCTGCTCTAAGAAATCTGCCCCTTGAGCTTAGAAAGAAGGACCATGCACCTATACGAGTGGAAAGAAAAAAGACGGGGTAGACTTTTTCTAAGTCTTCCTTCCTCCAAAGCAGAGGTCCTCAACCTGCGGGTTGTGACCCTTTTTTTTTGGGGGGGGGGGTGTCATATATCATATATCCTGCATATCAGATATTTACAATTCATAATAGTAGCAAAACAACTGTTCTGAAGTAGCAACGAAAATAATCTTATGGTCACCACAACATGAGGAGCTGTATTAAAGGGTCACAGCTTCATGTGGGTTGAGAACTCCTGCTCTAAGGGGAGGGGGCAGCAACAGAGCATAAGAAGCAGAACCATAAAAATTCTGTCCTTCGTTGTCAGCTTTACCAGAGACTCGTGGAAATGTCTATAAATGTATTAGATCAGCATTAGGTAGCAGAGAAGCATTTTTGTTTTATCTTTAAAAAAAAACAAAACAGAAAGAATGAGAAGGGAAAATAAAGTCCAGGCTGACATGTGGGGCTGAGCTCTGTGGACTCCTCGGCTGACACTGCCTGTCCTCCTTCTCCAAGGTTCCAATGCAATGTTAGAAAACATCGACTTGTTTGTTCTTAGTGAATGAAACTATGACAATATTGAAAAAGATACTGTTAACAGACCAAGTATTGTATTTTATGAACTTCAGTCAAAAAAAAAAAAAAAAAAAAAAAAGACTGAGCAGAATTCATTTGGTGGGGAGACTGGAGGAGAGGAAATCGAAGGTGTAGAGTCCTACATGAGAAAATGAGATGGTTCTCACCAGGGTTGTCCCAGAGAAGCACCAAACACAGAGGCAAATAATGCTAAGAACAAAAGCTAGCATGGGATGGATTGGGAAGAGAGCCTGCAAAAGGTCGCGAAGTTGGGCTCTTCATCCACATCCCCAGATCACAGCCTGTGATCTGCTCTCTGTAGAAAAGTCGGCCACCTTCCTCAAGGAGGCTGTGCTCAGAGAGGGAACAGAGCTTAGGTCAGTCCTGACACTCACTGTCAACGTAAGGAAGGCCCAAACAAGGAAAACGATGCGAGTACCTGGCAGGGAACCACGCGGGACCAGCTCCCTATTGTGATCAGCTTACCACAAACTCAGTGGCTGGAAACAACACATTTATTATGAAGTGTAGCAAGGAGGTGGATGGTACTTCCAAGGTGACGTCACAGCAGACTCTGGCTTCCATCTCAGCCTGCCTTCTCTTGCTGGTTTACTCAGAGGGCAGGCAACTGCCTGGCTGTGAACTGCTCTGTCCAGAGGCTCATGATGACTAGAAACCGAGGAGGGTCTCTCACCTACAGTCCTCTAGGGGCTCAGCTCAACAATGCATCTGTAGACATAGCAGCATACCCTTCCCAACCCATGCATTCAGAGAAGCCCACAGACCTGCTCAGCAGCTTGTGAGCAACTCCTAAGCAGAGGCAACCAAGCTAATCCTTGCTAAGACACCTGGCCTGCAGGAGCTGTGGGGTATAGTGAGTTCCTTATTGTGGCAATCACTGTGGCGTCAACCGTTAGACTGCAACAGAGAGCAAACACAGCCCCAAATGAACAAACAGAAAAGCTGCCACAAGAAGCAAGGGTCATTCTGGCGGCTGAGATTCACTGTCTTCAGATTAAGAGCCACGAAGCAAGCAGGCTGCCATGGAAATGAAGCAATCGGATAGAAAAAGAAGGCAGGGAAACAAAGCCTAGTTGCTGAAACTCTACAGGTCAATGAATGTCGGAACCCGTGAGTCAGACCCAGCTGATAACCAAGCTGAGCGGCCAGAGACCAAGAGTAATATAACAGGCTGCTGTAGGATGTGAGAGTCAGGGAGCAAACCTTCAACTCCGTGTAATCATTCGCGTGCGGTGGGACCAATCACCAGCTTCAGTGCTTGGATATATACTTCTGCTCGGTCCACTGTGCACACATCCTCATTGCTTTTTCTTACAAACAAATGGAGTGAGTTACTGGTACACAGTGGTGGGACACAGTTGCTCTTTCAAAACGTGAAGCAGCAGGAGTCAAGCCAGGGACTTGCAGGGTTTCTCCTCCTCAGGAGCCCTTGCTCTCCTCCCTTCCAGAGCTTCAGGAAATACTGGGAGCTACCATCGCCCCAGTGGGCTGTCCAAAGGCAGGTCTTACTCTATCTGTGCCATCACACCCTTCCCACTGACTTTTAATTTTCAGAATCCACCTGTGGCCAAATTCAAAGGCCTGACTGAATTTAGGGAACAGAAAATAAATGTGGAAAACTTTATAAAGTGATAATAAATAATAACAGACTCAATAAAAGCTCAGCATCCAGAGAGAGAAAACACAATGAGAACACATGAAATGTCTGTGTCCGTTCAGCCTGCCTTGGAGAGATCAATACAAACTGTGGTGAGCTGGTAAGTCAACAAGAGATGTAACTGCAGTGTTTTAGGACAAAGTCAACTAACTTAAGAACTACAAAAAGCAACAGATACAGACGGAGCAAAAGACAAAACGTAAGAAGTAAATTGAGTTAAACGTTTCATATTTAGAACAAATGGATAATATTAGATAAAATTAGAAAAGGGGCTTCATAGAATATAATAAGCCAACAAGTGTATAAAACACGTATACTTCTTAATCAAAAACTGGTTAAGACCTTCAAACGGCATTAACATTTAGCATGAACAGAAGTAGAGTGGATTGGGTAATGTCACACAGTGTTCCAGAGCGGCCATTCTAGAAGACAGTATTGCAAACATATCAAAGCAGGTGTGAAAGATTATGTCTTTTGCATTAGTGTTTTCATTTCTACAACAAAAGCCAAAAATATAATCAAATTTTTGCCAGGATGTACAAAGAAACAAGATGTTCATTCACTAATGCAAAAGATACTGAGACAATCTACTATACGCATTTGTAAAATATAAGTGGTTAATCAAGCACAGCATATCAGGATTATTGCAAAGTATTTAAAAATCATATTTTAAAAACAGCCATAAAGAGGACCACGACTGTAGCTCAGTGATAGAGCACTGCCTCACACACATGACAGCCTGGGTTTTCCCTCCAGTACTGCCAAAAATAGGTGTAAAATAATGAGTATACCAGCCGGGCGGTGGCGGCGCATGCCTTTAATCCCAGCACTCAAGAGGCAGAGCCAGGCGGATCTCTGTGAGTTCGAGGCCAGCATGGTCTACAGAGCAAGATCCAGGACAGGCACCAAAACTACACAGAGAAACCCTGTCTCTCAAAAAAACAAAAAAAAAATTAATAATAATAATGAGTATACCAAAGGCCTACTGATCCATGAAAAGGAAAGAAGAAATCAAGACAAATAGGGTGTATACAGCACAT